ATATATATATATATATATATATATATATATATATATATATGTATATATGTATATATATATAATATGAAATTCCATCTGTTTCTGTTATTCTTCTCCTCCTCTGCACAGGAAGGGCCAAAAGTCCTTTATTGTTTTGTTTGCTTTTTGTAAATACCGGATGGTACTGTAAGTGAGGGTAGGAGAGAGAGAAAAAGCAAAAGCACCTCTCTGTTTGGTCAAGGACCGTCAAGGGTGAAGGACATATAGCATTTCCTATTGACATATGTCCCATAAAAGGCATGCAATTATTTACTGGTCATGACATTATTATCTCCTGCTCCATCAGAGAGGCTCAGAAGAATGAGACCTCAGGGAGTCTGACTTCCTTGCACAAAGTGAAAAAAGAAAATAGCTTGTGGTATCCCTCACATATGCTGTACACTCGCACCCTCGCTGCTCGAAGCGTTGCTTTGCCCTTGTGCGAACCGAGGGAGAAGGAATTTCTGCAAGCTCGCCTCGTGTTCGGGCAGGGTGGTATTTGTTCAGCGCCGTCTTCATCATATATCCCAATGGTTGGTACAGTATCTACAGATGCAGTGACCTGTGCTGAACACAGAGCTGACACTGAAAATATACTAGAGAGATGGGGGCAGCTGTGTCAAATTCCAGTGAGTGTCTGCGCACTGTCGGATCTCTGCTCAGAGCCTTAAACGCAAAGCTACAGTACAGCTCTTTGTGTGCAGTGTCGGAATGACTAAGAGACAGTTCTACTAACCGGACTGCATTTTGCGGTTGCTGTAAAATTGCTTCTCAATGTGGGATGAGGTGGTGCGCTGAAGACCCAGTGAAGAGCTGCGCTGGATTAAAATCTCTTTCAGCAAATGCTGAAATGCCTCTTTTTGTTTTTCTTTTCACATCTGTATTTTCCTTTCTCTCTGCAGCCACTTTGAACGTGTGAGCTTATAATTGAAGAAAAGCTAACATTGTATTAAAGCAAACACAATTCTTCCTGCCTCAGCAAATGCTCCGTCAGCCACACAGGAATATGTTTCCTCTCCTTAAATTGGGCCCTCATTGTTTTCAAATTGGCTGTTTCTCTCATAATAATTTGCATGACAAATATGTCTGCGGAGGAAATGATGATCAGGATCCCAGTGGTGATGACCGGAGAGATGGAATCATGACCCTGTGAGGAGCTAATGTATTGCTGCAGAGCCTACGTGTGACAGGGATGAGGTTGTGTTGCACTGGCTTGGGCTTAGTGTGCTGCTCTATGCAACAATTGTCTGAAAAAGACAAAGCACTGTGGAAAGGGGCATCTCTGGGGAGCACGCAGGAGCAAGGTTTGTCTGCATCATCCGTGACCCTGGTTTCTCTACAAATTGGCTTTGTCCTTGTCAATGAGAGAGAGGGAAGAGCAAAGGAGAAAACAGTGCGCTTTCTGCTTATGTGAGGAGCCAAAATGCAGCCAACACCATGTTTAAGCAAGTAATGAGGACGATTTATGTTTTTCCTTGAGTTTCACCAACCAGAATTTTCCAGCCGATTTACTGTCTTTGGTTTTCATAAAGCTTTGACCAGCCAATGCAATCTGATTCCAAATTCTTTTTTAAAAACTGTGAAGCAAGAAGATAAGATATAAGAACAGCGTTCAGAATATTTTTTCAAGCCTTCTTTCGGTGAATGGCTGTTAGTTATTTTATTTTATTTTTATTCAAAGCGGAATTAATGTGATAAGAAGTTTGTAAGAGATTATTCAATTTTTTTTAAAAAAAGGGTTTTGCTAATATTTAAAGCAAAGATAAAATTAAACTTGTCATCTTATGCTGTCTTTGGCTTCTTATTTTTGCACTTAGTGACATTGATGTGTGAGTATTATTGAAACATCTGTCCAGTTTTAGGGTGTTTTGGCACCTGATAGTCCAGTAGACTCAGTTCGATTGGTGTCCAAAATTGCACCATTTGTTTTCAGCAGGTGTGGTTTGCTTTCACACTGCAGTGTCAAATGGTCCAAACATCTTTCTAACCCCCAATAAAAACTGAGTGGGGTCACATTTTAGCAGTTCTAGGATTTCTCTTTCATCTTTGACAAAAGACCACGAGCAGTTTCTCCTGCTGTTGCTAGAGTCCTGCGTTTGTTTTGGTTATTTTTAACCAGAATGCCCTGTGCCATTCTCCACTTCTTACTTTTGAACCGGTATTGGGTCCGCTGGCATCGGACATCAATCTTCAGGGTACAACTGACAGATAAGACATAATCCACATATGCATTCGAGACACGCCAGGATTCATACACTTCTGTGCTTCCTTTGACTTCACTCAGTAACATCATCCACTTTTAAGTGTGTGTTTTTTGTATTTTTTGTTTTTGTTTTTGTTTTTTTTCAGTATGATCTGGTAGCGCAAATTAACGGTTCATTCACAGATCAGAAACAGATCACACTTTTGACTTTTGGACTGGTTGGTTCTTGCCTGGATTTCCAGGTTTTTTTTGTTTTTTTTTTGTTTGTTTCCCTTGAAAGAGCTCTGAAATGATCTGTAAACAAAAGGCATGAAGCAGGCAGTTAGATCAGTGTTTTTAAGCAGAGGTCGCCCCTCTCTTGGCACAGAAGGTATTAGCTCCATGAAAGGGGGAACATGGAAGTAATGAGTGCTGGGGGGAGCCATTTGCATGCTTGAGATAACTTCAACGCAAGGCCTTTTGGATCATGACACGTCGCGAGCAGTTCTTGTCATCTGGACAGCTCCATCTGCACCTTTAATATTTTATCCCCCTGCAGTTCATTTGGAGTTCAGGGTGTACACACACAGTCCACTTCAGTAAAAAAAAAAAGAAAAAAAAAAGCTCTCTCCCCCATTCCCAGTGAGGCGAGGTGCTTCTGCATGGCTTGCAGTGATGATTCAGAAAGGGAGTGAAGGATGGAGGCAAGGCGGCTTCGCTCTAGCAAGAGGGATCCCCCCGGGAAAGGCTGCGAATGCATGTCGGTGGGGGTGGGAACATGTGCCATGCTGCTGGGTTACTTTAAAGTACTGTGTCCCTCTCCTCTGTCTCATTGGATCCATGTCACCACTCCATGTGTGAAAGGGTTTTTCAAAAGTCCTCCCCCACCTGTTCCTCCCCACCCCCGCTGTCTTACTCATGCAGACGGCTGGCAGAAATAATGGCTGAGAGCTGCGAAACAAAAACATAGCTATGATATAAAAGTCAGGTCTTGATTTCCCCCCTCCCTATTTCTCTCGTTCTCTTTTCTTTTTTCATCCCTTTCTTGCCATCCTTTTCTTTGAGAGTCTGGCTTTTATTGTGTGCGGCTCTGTGAGTTGATTGCATGTGGAGGGGGTGATGTATTGATCACAGGCAGCCTTTTGATAGCAGTGTGCACCAGAACACTCAGAAATTTCTGCTCAAGAGCAAATGGCTGTGGTCCGAGTCCGGCTCACAAAGGTCCCTCGCATTGGCAATTCATCCACATTTTTTTTTTTCTTTCTGGCATTCTAAAAATAACATGTTGATGCTGAAACGCACCATTTGCGAGGCTCCCCTGGATAAAAGCTTTTGTCGCCACAAATGTATTTATTTTGTGTGTTTCGCTTTCTTTTTAATAGCTGTATTTGTTTGAACCATTGACATGCTCTTGGGCACACCTCTTGTGTTTTTTCTTCTTCCTCAGACATTTCTTGACATTATTTATACATGACTGGCTTGCAGTGTGAACACAGTTTGGTACATCTGCTATGAGTGCTTGTACCTGCTGTGTCGAGGACTTGTTTGCCCCAGAATAAATGATTTTGAAGTAAATTATTTGGAGGAGCCCCTTGCTGGACTATCCATCCTTTGTGTCTCTAAATCACACTATTGATTTTTTTAAGGTACCAAATAAATGTGCTCAGAAACGCGGCTCATAGTATCCTTGTCTGAGCCTGATATGTGCTCCCTCCTCCCACAAGATTTAATGCGTTAAAACAGGCGAGCTCCTTTTCTCCTTACCTCTTTCTTTTTATTTTTTTTTCATCTGAACACACAAGAGAATTGAACAAAATATACCATGTTCCCCCAAGCCTTTTGTTGCTGCTTATACCTCATAATATTTCACTATGTGCATAAAATGATATGTGGTTGTTTTGTACAACAAGAGCCTCTCTTATTTCTCCTGCTACTTCTCATCCCCTTCTGACATTGCAAGACTGCTGCCGTGTGACTGGTGCTGTTTTTTTCTCTTTTCTTTTTTTTTCCACATTGATGGATTTTAATGTATTTTCATGCTCTCATTGATATAGAATGACACTAAATTTGGCGCCAGTCGGCCCGTCTGAGACTAGCAAGAGTGATAGATGTTTATTGGATTAGTCTGTGGACATTGCAGAGAGTTGAAGGCTCTTTGCTTTTAATACTTATGGACAAATTAACAGTTTTTTTTCTCCTCTGTCTGCCTTATCTTGAGGCATAAATCTTCATGAATTAACGCTGCCATTATTCTGTTTTGACAGCTCAATCTCATCTTCCTGGTAATCACGATGTACAAAATGGTGAAGCACTCTACCACCCTGAAACCAGACTCGAGTCGACTGGAGAACATAAAGTAAGTGAAAATGCCATGTATGCTGAGGAACACAGTGTTTCTTTTTTGTATGAATGATGGTAACATGGTTCGCTAGGACGTGGTCTTTTTTTTTTTTATTATTATTATTATTCTAGCTCGACGTTTTCTAAACTTTTAAAGAAAGTTTAGGATTTCTGAGATGAGGTTCCTCTACAAGGTCGTATCCATTAATATTGAGTGTTGTAACAAGACATCAAGCTGACAAGATGAGATATGTGGTTCCTGCTAATAAAACAACATGGTTTTAGCTTCTTTTTTCTTTTTTTTTTTCCACATAATTTGTTTCCACAAAACATTGACCCGTCAGTTTTACACAATTTTACACTTCTGATTCCCCTTTAGAGGTCTGGCAACCCCATAACGATCTGAGTTATAAGGGTAACATGGGATTGCAGAACAAGTGTGACATAGTGATATATGATACAAAGCAACCACAGCAACAGCAGCTAAGCCCGCAGGTGCAAAGACACCAGATGATCCTCTAGAGTCTTTCTCATCTGAGAAATACTCTGATCAACAGAACCTGGTGTAGATAATGAAATGCATTTGAATCGCCTCCATGAGGACCACAACACAGAGCTCAGCCAAACATGAGGGGAATAACCCACACCTATTTAATCTGAATTGCTCGATTTTGTTGCGATGTAGGCCACAGTCAACTGGTTCAGTAATCCCACCTGCATGAAAGCACACATGGTCCTGGATCACACTGGGTCGACTTAAGTTATGTGGATCACAAAATCATCTGTGAAGTGAAATGTGTGTGTTGCGTAGTAACTGCAGAACAATGATCTGAAAAGGTTTATATCTGCATCAGAACATCAAGCTTACAGAACATGCCTTTATATCCACAGCTCATCATAGCTTTCATTTACTTCACCATTCTCTGGTGCCAGTTGGATAAGAATTTGCAAGTCTCACTTTACTTTGCCAATAAATGTGGTGCCCAAAAAAAAATAGCTAAATGGCATCTACTTAAATATTTCTGGTTGTTATGTCTTTACTTGTCAGACACTTGGTCTGAGCGCAAAATTTTTTACATTTTTTGTCCTTGTTTTTCTCTGTGGAAGAAAATGTGTGGTATACAATTATTTGTCGTGTGTAAATAATTGCTCAATGGAAACAAAGGGTGATACAACATGGTAAAAGTTTGCTTTTGTATTGGCCAGTTACAAGCTAGGCATTAGCTTCAATCTCTGGGTCCGACTAATCTGAGTTTATACTAAACAGAGACACCAAGAGTGCAGTCCACTGCCGGTAAGACATTGGCTGCTTGTAACCTTTTTGCAGAGCCTTAGGTTAAAAAAAAAAAAAAAAGTCCTGAGCTCAATGCACCAGCATTTCCTAGAAGGGTAGGATACAGCGGAAATTCTGGAGCATCCCAAATGTTTTTCTTTTCTAATAGATCCGAGCTAAAACTCTCATCTCGAAAGAGATAGAGAGAGAGAGAGAGAGAGAGAGAATAAAAACGTCAGACACCACTACCGTTACCTAACCATTTCTGTTTCAATCAAGACATATCACCACAATGCTTTGCTTTTGGAAGGAAAAGCTCTTTTTGTTAATACCTTTGTCAATAAAAAAACCCCCAAAAAAACATTGAATCGTTTGTGCTGCAGAATTGTGGATGGTTTTTATTTGAGGTTATAAGGTCTTGTCGGTTGCTGTAAAAACACCAGTTTACACAATCATATTATTACAGTAAGTGTTCAAGTTGCAACCACTGTTTGTAAGAGTTCTCCATCTATCTATAGCCAGTGGTTTTTTTTTTTTTTTTTTTTTTTTTTTCCCCTTTCTTGATTTTTTTTTAGCGTAGCAGCACAGTGGTAAAACCGCAATCAGGGAGAGCAGTCATTAAAGGCCGATTTAGACATCTCAGTTTATTTGTGATGGACTACTCCCTTATCAAGCAAACCACAGCAGACCATATTTTCTGAAGCCTGCTTCCTTAAAAATGGCCGTAGATTTTCTCGCTCAATGTTGAAATTGTTTCATTTAAACCTGCGTATGTTGTTTATACTAATTGCTGTTTTCCTTGTGGTCATTTTTTATTTTTGTTTTCTTTGTGTCGGAGTTTTCTCTACGAGTCACTTTAGGACAGTGTCTACTGCATGTTGCATGCAAACACAAAGTTAACGCAGGCCCTGTGCTTTCTTTTCTCCTCTCATTTTCTACCTCTGTCTCCGCTCTGCAACCCACACCAGTAATTATCGCGTTTGTGACGGCTACTATAATACAGATTTGCCTGGGTAAGCTTTTACCGCGCACCTCAAATAATGCTATCCACACACCACCACCCACCCATCAGCAGCATGGATGCAAATTCAGACAGCAGACGATGTGTTCTGACCAATTGCTTTGCTTAAAGATGGAATATTTGGTAATTTAATCAAAACATGCAAATCTTGGCTCTTGTTAGACCCTAATTTGATTGCCTCCCCTGATTTCCCTTGGATCAAAAAGTTGAAAATATCACACTCAAGTGCCAACTAACCCGCGCTGTTCTGTGCTCTGATCTAATTGTGTTTCTCTCTTCCCGCTATCATGCTCTCTAGCTATGAAGATAATAAACACTTTATCAAGTAAGAACATGTTGCCCAGAACTCTCCTCTTCAGCTTACAGTTTATTCTCTCCACTCTTTCTTATTCCCTCTTTCCTTCTCTCTCTCTCTGTCTCTCTCTCTCTCTCTCTCTCTCTCTCTCTCTCTCTCTCTCTCTCTCTCTCTCTTTCCTTCTTTTACTTTGTTTTGCCAGCTCATCTTCTCCCAAACTGCAGCTTTAAAGCCTCTCATCCATCCGTCCTTGTGACTGGTCACTTTCACCGTTTTCATCAATCTGGTGTTGTGGTTGTTGTTGTGTGTTTGACCACTGAACTGTGACAACTTCTGCTGTCTGAAGGCTTCACTGGACCTTTACACACAAACACGGAAAAAAATAAATAAAAAAAAATCCCTCGACTCCTCCACATCTGCCTCTTTCCTCCAGTTCTAAAAAATACACAAGCCAGATTAATATTTAGTGTGTCTCAGCAGCCCTTTGCGTCTTTCAAAGTTATTTTCAAATGTTCTTTGCTCTACTTTGAATTTGCTGCTTGGTATGCTCTAAAGCATTAAAAAAATATATTTACAGAAAAACAGATCAAGGTTTTCCTTCCATCTTCTCTGTCTGTCGGCAGAAACTGCCGATGAGCTTAGGCTGAAATTTTGCGAAGAAGAAAAAAGTGGAAATAAAATTGTCAGGCATGAGGATTGGATTGCGTATGTGTTTTTGCCATCCTGTGTTTCCCCAGTCTCTTGGTTTACAGCCATCTTTCAAGAGCTTCCTCCAAGATCAAAATGAGAAAATAAAAATTGCCAGTCATAACTCATTTAATGCACATCCCTCATGTTAATTCTCTTATTTTTGTTTTGCTGTTTTTTTGGGTTTTTTTTTAGGTCTTGGGTCATGGGAGCTTTCGCCCTGCTGTGCCTGCTCGGTCTCACATGGTCCTTTGGCCTCTTCTTCATCAGCGAGGCCTCCATTGTCATGGCATACCTGTTCACAATATTCAACACCTTCCAAGGAATGTTTATCTTCATTTTCCACTGCCTTCTTCAGAAAAAAGTGAGCCCCTTTGTTGTACTACACTCTAATTTCAGAGATTTGTCCTTCAAGGTGAAAGGCATCTGAATTTTAGCATTCCAGCATTTCTGAAATAGCACCACATGCTGATATAAAGACCAAACACTGTTCGCCTTGATATCGCAGGCTAAGTCATATTTAAAGTCAACAGTCTGTGGAAACACCTGCTTCTTGCTTATGCAGGTCCGCAAAGAGTACAGTAAGTGCTTCCGCCACACGTACTGCTGCAGAGGGCTGCCAACCGAGAGCTCGCACGGTTCCACAAAGACTTCCACGACACGGACGAGTGCGCGCTACTCTTCTGGTACACAGGTAGACCAGCAGCTTTACACAGTAAGACTCCTAACGTGCCATGCAATGTTTTCTATGCTGAGCTGCTTATGATGCATGATTTTAAACACTAATATGAGAATTTGCTTAGGAAATTTGCTGTAAGTGTTTGTACATTATATGATCCAGATTGATGTAAAAAAAAAAAAAAATGGATTCAGTTTATTTCAGAACCTAAAGTTTCATTTTGATAAAATGTATTATGTTTTTATATGCTATTTATATATAATTTTTTATATAAAAAAAATCAATTGACTATCCTAATTCTGTTTACATTCTGTACTTAGATTAATACATATTAGATATTAGATTAATAATATAACTCAACATAGTTAATGAGAGGAACTGACCCGTCAACCAAACAATTTTTAGCAAATCATTCTTGATAATTATAGAAGTTGCTGAACCACTTTGCACAAAGAGGACTTCCTCCTCTGTTGTGGGTACATTTCCAACAAAATTATTTTTTTGTTGTTGTTGTTTTAGCTTATCCACTTGTATCTTCAGCATACTTGAACTCGGACTACAAAATCGCTGCGAGAAATAAAAATGGTTAATTCGTAATGTGATCTTGACAGTTCCACAGCAAATACTATGTCTAATAGTTTGAAAAAAGTAATTAGAAATAGAGAAAGTTGAACAGATTGAAAATATGACCCAAACACAATATAAAGATAAAAATCAAACTAAGTAATTATTCCTTACTTAAAATCAACTTTTTTTCTTAAATGCATTTAAGGGTCAAAATGTTTGGGGAGAGTTAGTTTGGGTTAAGTTTCAGAGCAATTAAGATGTTTAAAGTTTAGGGATCAAACACCGTCGGGTAAACAAACCTCCTTGTCGGCCGGATCCAGGATACGAACTTTAAGACAAAGCAGACCAGTGAGACAGGTAAGCAGCAAGATAGTGGTCATGATAAATGAGGTTCAGTTTCTTCCTGGGGATGATAGAGCTTTACAAAGGTGCAAGCATTAGTGGTGCTCTCCAACAATCAAGCCTTTATGGTCGAGTGGCCACATAGAAGCCATTACTCACTAAAAGACACCCTCCTGCTATTGTACTAAAAAGCCCTTGAACAACTGTAAGACCGAAACAAACCTCTATAACCTGATCGTACAAAATTTCCATCAGTGTGAGACAGAACCAGCCTTACCTCATTGATAGCAACACAATAGATAGACATGTTGAAGGCATTCCTGTTCTGTGGGGATGCCTTCAAGTAATTGAGTTCGGACAGAGATGGATGAGCAAAAAGACAGTAAAAAAATCTTTCATAAAATTGTGTCGCTCTACTTCCAGATTTATTTAATGATTTAATAGACAAATTCTTTCAGGGTAAATGTGAGCTGTTCACCGCAAAAATACTTCAGGGCTCTGTTTGTCTGCAAAGCTACCGAGTACTCGGTGAGAGTTATTATTTCTGTTTTTATTTTCCTTTTGATGAAAAGGAATAAACTGAATCTATTTTGTGCTGAGGTTGAAACCTAACATCTGAAATATCTCTAGAGGTGAAAAATGTTGGTCTCGCCCATTCTTAGAAGAAAGCACATTTGAGCTTCAGAGTTGCATCAGGAAATGTTACATTATTCCACATTTACCAATCAGGGTCTGCTTTGCTGCATGGGAACCTTTCTTTTGTTGTATCCCTTTAGCACTTGCTTTTATCTTTATTTTTCACTGATGTCATGTGCATGGGAAACAGTGTTGCACTCTTTAAAAAAAAAAAAAAAAAAAAACATTGTTAGGTACATTTTTACTGCAGGGAGACCTGATGCTGCAACAACGTACAGGTTTGCACAGTGCCTTTCTTGTAAGGCGGTGTGGTTGCAGGAAGACAATGATGTCACTTCAAAACTCCAACCAAGAAGAACTGGAGTTAAAGTTGTTCAAAAAGGTGCCTTAGATGAAAAAAATGTTTTTGATATAAGTTGAGATGCACTAAGACCAGTGACGGGTTCTTTTACTGAGCTAATAAGACTTAAAGTTACATATTTTTCAGTATCAGTGAGGTACTTCAAATTAAGTCAGGGAAATCTGTGATTAATTAATCTATTTTAATTGTTTAACTGTTTTTATTACATGTTGCTTGTTTTTAAAGGTGCAGAAAATAATCAATTCTTGAGAGAATCTCAGTTCCTAGACCTGAGAATTCTGAATCGATTCAAAAATTGATTTTAGGCTGCTTAATGTTTTAGTAATTAAATTTCTTTGAATACTACTTTGATCATTTAGGGAAAATTAAAAAAGCTAGGCAGCTAAACTAGACTAATAATGGTAATTTATGTTAAAAACTTTTATGTGCAAACTTATTTTTGTTTGAACTGACGGGATTTGATGCAGTATGGAACCTCTCTACTTGTTTTCAAGGCTCTCACTGGTTTAACAGCTTACTTTTACATCATAACACTCCAGCTATAACTTCAAGATTCATTATCCACTATGCACTACTGTTGAACATTCCCAGATACGGGATCAAAATGAGTGGTAACGGCACTTTTGATGGTGAACCTCTACATGTGGAGCAGCCTGCCTTCCTCCGCTAGAACAGCTGTTAGTCAAAGTCAAACCTGCTTAAAACCTATTTTATTTCCACTAGCTTTTAATTGTGACTGAGAATTACATATATTACCAATTATTTCTTGCTTAACTGGTGTTGGTCATTTTTATTGTATTTTCAATTATTTTGTAGGACTATAATTCCACACTTTACTCTTGGTGAAGCACTTTTCTTTTAACTTTGACATATTAAGAAGCTTTGACCAGTTAATTTATATATCTTCAGAAATGTCTGTAATTCATTCAGGCCTACAACAAAGTGAGAGAGAAAAAAGCTTAATCGTTTGTTCCTTTTCAGCTTTTAACCCGTATCTGTCTCGGACAATGTCAGAAATAGTTAAACTTTGTTTTTGAAAACATCCAAATTCCTCATATAATGGAGTAAAATACTGTTGCTATGTGATCTTATGATTCATGACGAGAAACTGGAAAAAGCTATAATCAGTATCAGCAGGTCAAAGCTTTACAATTTAGTGACAAAATTCTGATCAGTCCATGGAAAAGCAAAAAAAAAAAAAAAAAAAAAAAAAAACCAGGGGCTGCCCTCACCTTACTGTGAAGGCAGGCGAGTGATGCAAACTGTAACATATATTTTTTTAAAAATGAAGGAAAGTTGTTCTGAAATCTGCGTGGGCTGGATTAAAGTCCTAATGACTGTCCCTTGTTGACCTGACAGAGTCGTATCAGGAGAATGTGGAATGACACCGTAAGAAAGCAATCTGAGTCCTCCTTTATCTCAGGTGACATCAACAGCACCTCCACCCTTAACCAAGGTCAGTTCACACCTCATCACTTTCCACACCTATGCACAAATTCCATCTGCCAGCTAATATTATCACCTTGCAGTTCCAGTAATCACAACACAACACAAGGTCCAGGCAGTAAATGCCGTCGTCTTGAAATGACAGTGCAGCATGGTTTATAAAAACGCAAGGCCTTAAAAATGAAGTTTCCTTTTTCTGTCAGCTCAGAGCTGGGAGAGAAAAAAAAAAAAACCTTCCTCAAATGCGGCAGCATCTCTCGTACCTCTAGCCTCAGTCTCAAATTGAAACTTGCGTGTTTTTTTTTTTTTATTTAAGTGCGGGCTGTTAAAGATCATGCCCAGGGGACACATAGGCAAAACTAAAATGGTTGTAAAAAGTTTTATTTTCAGAATGTCTAAACATGAAGCGAAAGCCTATTTGTTGCCCAGCACAGAAGGTGACCTCTGTTACTTTATAAAGAGATTTATGGGTTGGGGGAGGAAAAACTGTCATTTATTATTTAGCTTGAGCACAAATATGATGATGAGAAGATGATGTTCAACTCTGGCTGACCCAGAGTGCTTAGTGTGATGTTAGGCTTTCTGCTGCCTCTCAAATGGCTTTCTAAGCATGCAAGGGAAAAGAAGGTTTACACTAAGGTAGCTTAACTTTCCCTCCGCTGACTTCTGTCATGTGCCGCTCTTTGCCTTCCCCTTTTTCCGTTTTGATGTCACTTCCCAAAAGACAGAATCTCGCATCGAACACTCTCTAGGACATTTTGACTTGGTGATACATCAGTAACAATCTAGAGGTACCGCTCTTTTTTTTTTTTTTTTCTGCCCCTCCGCGCTACCATTTCCTGGAGATGTTAATGCAAAGGTTGGATATTGATCACTCCGGGGCGTAGTAGCAACCCTAGAGAATTAGTGCACTGAAGGAGGGCTTTATCTCCTAGAAGCACTTCCATGTCATTAAAAACATCCCTGGAGACATCTCAACATGACAGATGGCATTTAACATAGGTGATAAATGGCAGTGGAAATACCTCAGATCCTTAAAACACACTGCAAGCTCGGGAGAGAGATTAGGCTTTGGAAGATAATGGTTAAATTTTTAGCCCTAATTGTTTTTTTTTTTTTCTTCTTATAAATAAAAACCTGGCACAGTCATCCTGTCTGTCATAAAGTAGAAATTATATTTGGAGGGACTTGAAACAGCAAAACCTTTGCATAATTACAGAAAATCCAAGGTGCTGAAAAATGAAGCTTGCACAACATAATAACTAAAAGTGAGTTATGAAACACACTTGTGACAGAATGTAATAATGAGCATAGTTGGTTGAAAATTAGTTTGTAAATAAATGGGTTAGGAAGGATTCGTAACACACTTAACAAATGAATGGGGGATTTGGGGGTGGGGGGGGGCAGGCACCAGCAGAAGATGCGTGCAGGAATTTTTCCTTTCCTTGTTGCCTTGAGTAGAAACTTTTAATTAAAATCCCTACTTTCAGATTTAGGCTCACCCTTAAAGACAAAGTCAGATTCGTTGCCTTTTTTTTTTTTTTTTCTGTTCTCCTTGACACTTTCAGACAACTGCCAAACTTACCTGCTCCTCCTCTGTCTTGCCACTCCAGGAATGACTGGGAATTACCTACTAACAAACCCTCTCCTGCGACCACAAGGCACTAACAACCCTTATAACACCTTACTGGCTGAGACAGTCGTGTGTAACACCCCCACAGCTCCAGTGTTTAACTCACCAGGTGTGCTTATTTAATTCTTTCACCTGCATTCTGCCTTTTTTATATATATATTTTGTTCTTTTTTTTCTCTCCCCCTTCCTCACTGATGTCTTCAGTCAAGTGTTCAGAAGGCCAAATGAAACACAGGATGTTCAGCAGTATCGTCTTTCCGTCTAAATCACTGTCTCCGCAAGGCTTGATATGGTGCTCATCAAATATGTGTGTGTGAAAAAAAACAACAAAAAAAACAAAACAGAAGTAATACACTCACATTTTGTCATGCATGACCTAGATCTTTGTGGTTCACCTAGATCCAGCCTGTGTGTTCTCATATTTCTCTTAACGGGACATAATGATTAAGATGGGAAAGAGATACTGCACATTCTGCCTCGAGATAATGTAAACAGTGGTGTAGACCTGAAGCTGTAGTATAAACTGCACAATCATTGAGATTTATTTCCATGAACATATGAGGCAATTTGTTTCATGCTGTGCTACTTCTTAAATATGGTATAAACTCCAAGAATTTACAGTGCTCTCCACATTTATTGTCAGCCCTGGTAAAGACGTGTAAAAACTCTTAAAATTATTGACGGCAGTACCACCATTTCATATGAATGAAACAAATATATATTTCACAAAACAAACTTGGGTTCTCGTCCAGATTTTTTTTTTGTTTTTTTTGTCACAATTCCAGTTTTATATATATATATATATATATATATATTTTTTTTTTTGCATTAACTATTCCCTGACATTTGACAGATTGGAGGTTAAAAAACAAAACAAAAAAAAAAACAGTCTTTTGACGGTTTCCCGGTACCCATTTCTTGACTAATTTAGATTAACACACACCTGCTTACCTGCATGGTGTGCTCTCTTGTCTTTCCCATTTTGAAGAACTAAGAGGTGAGGGTTTTTATTAAGACCAAAATATTGTTGTTTTTCTTTCCCCCATCTTTCTTCTTTTGAAAATTAAATATCTCCGGGACTTATATGGATTCCTTATTAAGAGCTCTTAACACTATTTATGATGATAATCAGTGTGATATATGCATTTTAAAAATGCTTCACTTTTATTTCATAGTAGTTGGTAATTACTTCATAGTAGTTGCCAGTAGATATAATTTTGCGTGAAGCGATATATATTTTTAATGAGATGTTTCTCCTTTTTTAAGTTTGAGATCATACAGCCCAGATTTAAAGACGGCTACATTTAAATGCACCATCATATCTTTACCAGGGCTGCCAATAAATGACGTATTTTTTGTATGAATTGTGTTATCAGTGTCTAAATATGATATTAGGAACTAGAGTATGCCTGTGCAAATAGTAATGATAACTATGTTTCTGTTGTATATGGCATCAGAACATATATAACAGTGATAAGGCTGTGATGTTTTTGTATGTGCTGTTCCTTTTTGAAACTGAAGTGGCATCTTTTGTTATGTTTTGTGCTTTTCCCCTGTGCTTCCCTTTAGTGACCTACAGAGAGACAAGTATGGGAGTAAAACTTAACTTTGCCTATCAAATGTAAATTTTTTTCAGCATGCTTATTTAAAACAACCCCAAACCCTCGGCACAATCACTGGTTTTACTTTAGGCCATTAACACACACTCAAGTGGAGAGCAAGTGGTTCACAAAAACAATATAAATCAAAATAGCTCAATTTGATCATTTTAAGGAATCTTTCTACTCCTGATAGAGTTGTCCTGAATTTGCCCACTACTCTGCTTTTCTTTGTTTGGTTTGTTTTTTTACTGACCAAAAATATGTTTTTTGTTTTTATTTTTTAAAGAAGAAAACCCCTTTTATAAAAAAAATATTTCCTCCCCCACCCCCTCTCTCCACCCCACTGTCTGTCTTCGTTGTCCTGGTGTGGCACTCTGCAGTCTCAGTGTCCACTATTATTCCTGTCACCGTGTTTCAGACAGCAACTTGTCTGGACACTAAATTGCCTCCTAGCAGGCATTAACACATAGATGTCACAGCAGCAGCTGTTACATTTCCTTTTTTTTTCCATTCAGGACTTATTGGCCTTTATCCTAACTTTGAAAAGATTCTCAAAAGACTGCTCATCTAAAACTGCTCCCCACACACTGCCTTCTCCCTTACTCTTTCCTTTCTTTATAGTGACCATTTCAAAACATAAGTTCCCTTAGTGCTCTAAATCTTATTATTCTACAAGGAGGAAACCATCCATTGCAGAGAACATTTTTCTCCTTATCTCCTCTCTCAATCATGACATAAATAATATTTACATTTTGTAGGGCTGCTTTCCATGACCTCCATGCTTCGAGACATTCCTAACACAACCACATCTGACCTCTGCAGTGGCTGTGCTTTCCTGAGCTGTTCTCCCAATGACCTGGGTCTCAATGGGAACTGTTACAATGACGGATGCCAAGTGCCGGGCTGTGGGCAATCTCTGACCTTTACCAGCTCTGGGTACACAAGCTGCCAACTAACGGGCAGCAAGTGTACCACAGTAAAGTCACCAAAAATGGGACTTTTCTTCAAAGCATTGTGCCTTGCAAAAGTGTTCTTAGCCCTTCTCAGCATCAGTGTTTTTAACATGAATTCAGGAGGAGACAAGCTGAAGTTATTCATAATTGTGAAGTGGACGGGAAATGATGCAAAAATGAGAAAAGTGTTGCTTGTATATTTGTTTCAGCCCCATAAGCCATTGCTTTGGTGATACAACTATTGAGCCAATAGTAACTGGAAGTCCTTCAGCAGTATGTCTGTACCAGTTTAAAAGACTGAGATTTATTTCCATTGTTCATTCTAAGTTATGTAAAGTGAAATCACATTCGACGGAGAAAATCCATGAACACGTTTTGTCGTGGATTTACAGTTGCATGATGGTGTGAACTTTAACAGGGCCACCATGTGTTGCTCTAAAGTTTAAACCATTCCATTGTAGAGTTGATTGTATATTTATTGTCCTCCTGGAAGGTGAAGCTTTAATCCAGCCAAAAGTCGTATGCAGCTTCTAAAATCAGGATTTTCTTCATGATTTCTCTGTATTTAGCTCAATCTGTTTTTTTTCCCATCAAATCCCAGCAGAAGAAAAGCATCACCTGCCACCACCATGCTTTACACATGGTGGTCAAAAACTTTTTTTTTTTTTTTTTTTTTTTTGAGCCAAAAATACCGGGGGTTTTTGCCCTTTTTTTTTAGTTTTTACCAATTTTCTGACTGGGGCAATTGACCCTACTGAACTTTATTTTGGGGCATCAC